TGCAGAGCTATAATAATTATTCAGGCAATTGCTGAATTCTTTTAATTCTGCTACTGAGGGTCAAAATCCCTCATATGCCAACATGTATATAGAAAATATCACCCCTAAGTGGCTTCCAAACATATTGAGCAGTTAGTGAGATTGAAGAAGTGGCCCCTGGAAATAAAGGAGAAGAAATATTCTGAGTCCTATTCCATAGAGTAATCTGTTAAAATGATTATGTAACTGATATATTTGACAGCAGCAAATAAACAAAACAGGATTTTGGTGTTTATCTGCCAGGCAATGACTGTACAATAAATTCTGATGCTACAGAAATATTTGGACTTGATCATAATTAAGATGGGATCATGAAGAACTCATTACATTTTCTGCTACATATTACAAAGTGCATATGAGATCCTCTAATTCCACATACATTTTTTGCTTGGTTCTACACTCTGATGTCATAAAGTGACAAGGAAAGATTTCCTAGCTGGTCAATTATCTAATTCTTGCGGATATAACTCATGACTGATTCATTTTTACAGTTTAGCCAATTTGAAACTTAATTCAATCTTTTCACTCCTTGAAAAGAATAGACTTTATGATAACACACAAGGAGAGGTGAGGCAACCAGGTAACAAAGTCAACAGAGAAATTTTCTGCATGGGTTCTGTAACGAGTTAAAGCAGGTCACATGTTTGCTGAATGCAGTGAAGATTTGTCAAATAGTACAAGATGTTAACCATGGCACTCATTAGATCATGGCCATTTAACAGTAATTTCCAACAATAGCTGAGTGATCAGTTTAAAATCAAACACTTAAGATAAAAACAAAACCAACAACATTCTCATTTCAGCCTTTCTTTCTCTCATTTCAGTTATTTGGTTCAAATTAAATCTTTGAGCGGCAATAGGCGTGAAGTTTCAGGAAACAATGACTGCATCTCAGTCATCAACTTATTTTCCTGATGAGTGCAAGATGAAAAAGTTCGACAAAAGGTACATATTTTTCAGTGACACTCAACTTCTGTAATATCAAATTATTATTTGATGTTAATGGCTCAGAAAAGGGTGAGCAAAAGTATGGTTGATAAATTTAAAGATGATACAAAGATAGGCAAGAAAGAACATTGTGAAGAGGTTGCACAGCTCTACATATAGGCTGAATGAGCGGACAAAAAGCTAGCAGTTGGAGGATAATGTGGGGAATTGTGAAGTAGTGCACTTTGATAGGAACAAGAAGAGCATTACATAAATTATAAACAAGTGCAGAATTCTGATGTGCAGGGGATCCAGGTGTTCTCATGCAGGTACAGCAAGTAATTAGGTAGCTATTGAAATATTATTCTTTATCATCAGAGGAATTGAACATAACAGTAAGGACGTCCTGCTTTAGTTATACAGGCCATTGGTGAGACCACATCTGTTTGTGGATTTGGCTTCCTTATTTAAGAAGGGATGTAAATGTCTTGGAGGAAGTTCAGAGGAAGTTTACTTAATACATGAACTGAGTAGATTGTCTTACGAGGATAGGTTGGACAGGTTGGAGTTTAGAAGAGTGGGCAGCTTGATTGAAGTACAGAAGATTGTGCTGCAGCACTAATAAAACCCCGGTTAGACCACACCTGAAATATTGTGTTCAGTTCTGGTCGCCTCATTGTCGGAAAGATATGGAAGCTTTAGAGATGGTGCAGAGGAGATTTACCAGGATGCTGCCTGGACTGGAGGGCAGGTCTTATCTGGAAAGGTTGAGGGAGCTAGGGCTTTTTTCATTGGAGCGAAGAAAGATGAGAGGTGACATGATAGAGGTGTACAAGATGATGAGGCATAGATAGAGTGGATACCCAGAGACTTTTTCACAGGGCGGAAATGACTATTATGGGGGGCATAATTTTAAAGTGATTGGAGGAAGGTATAGGGGAGATGTCGGAGATAGGTTCTTTACACAGAGAGTGGTGGGTGCATGGAACGCGCTGCCGGCAGTGGTAGTGGAGTCAGATACATTAGGGACATTTAAGTGACTCTTGGGTAGGCACATGGATGATAGTAAAATGTAGGGTATGCAGGGTAGTTTGATCTTAGAGCAGGATAATAGGTCGACACAACATCGTGGGCCGAAGGGCCTGTACTGTGCTGTACTGTTCTATGTTCTATGTTTCTATGTTAAGATCTCGAACAGTCTTGACAAGGTGGATGTGGAGAGGATGATTCCTCTTGACAGTGAGTCCAGAACTACGGGGCAGTGTTTTAAAATCATGGGTCATCCTTTGTAGGACAGAGATGAGAAGAACCTTTCTCTCAGTGGGTTGTGCAACATTGGAACTCTCTGCCTCAGAATGTGGGGGATGTGGGGCATTAAACGTTTTTAAGGTGCAGGTAGTTACATTCTTGTCAGGCAAAGGAATCAAAGATTATTGGAGTAACTGGAAATGTGGAATTCAAAACATTAACAGATGAGCTGTGATTTTATTGAATGGTCAGAGCAGGCAAAAGGGGCTGAATGGACCACTTCTGCTCCTGTTTCATATGTTTGTGTATCTGACTGGAGCATGAAGTCTCCAGGCAGAGTGCAGCATGACAGAGTGTTGTTAGCAAGTCACCTTCCCATCCTCCAATATTCAAGTAGTGGACTATCACTGCTGCAGATTGACTTTACTGGGAATGGTGCTATGTACATGCCTTGCCAACAATCCTGACATCCCAACATAAAAAATAGTCTCGTCAACCTTTGAGAAATGAAAACCGATGAAACGTCTTGTTTAATCAGATTATTTGTTTGTAATCTCTTTGGATTTAATCGATAAAGTCTATGCTCTTGTACTTGAACTCATACAGTTCGCTGTGTTTGAGACCTTGTCATCTTTGCTTGGAATGTGTCAGGAAACTAGTTAAATCTTTTACTAAGTAATCGCCGTATGAAACATAATTCTAGAGCACAAAATTCCTGAGTATGAATCAGCCTTGCATTGTGAAAAATAAACTAATGCCATTAAACTGTCAGCTCTTGATGCTTATCTGGCATAGTCATTAGCAATTGGAGCACACTCTGAAAACACAGTCTTTATCCTCCCAATACTAGAAACAACTCACTTCAATAGTATCGTGAATATTAAACAACCACAAAAGCTCAACACTAAGATATGTGTTGTCAGTTTCTGATTTCACATTGGTACTGGGGCACCTCACCCAGCAAAGAATTCCTCTCAGATGCACACTGTACCTGACTCTCTTAGTATTTAAATTCATTGGCGTTGACGTGCTTGCAATAAGTGCTCCTGATGGATGGGACGACTCTTTGGGTGAGGGAGTTGGGGAAGTTAACCCAATGAAGCTGTGAAAAGGTTCTTTCAGTCTGCCGCAAATCCTGAATGAAAAATAGATCATACTTCAAATCTCTTGCTTCTTTCTTAATTTAACTGCTGACACAAACTTCTTTTTTAATGCAAGCTTCTCGTCTCTTAATATTGTTAAGTTGCAACAAGATACAGTTCCATCGACTCCATTTGGTATCTTACTGAAATGTTTGGAAGGTCAATGCGGACAGACACCTTTTAGATTGTAACTAGGACAAATGCCTATGCAAAGGAATCATGGCTAAAGCAGATTCTGTGTTTACTGCATTTGAGATGTAAATTGGGGATTACATGGCAATCAGGAGCAGGAACTTTAATGTTACTGTGTTCCCTTTTCCAGTTCAATGGTTGTTCCAGTTTATTGCTGTCTCTCAGTCGAGAGCAGTGAATGCTCAGGAACTGACACAGGAATTACTAAAGTTTGTTGCACTCTCAGAGAAACATGGAGCAACAACGCTCTCAGGACAAGCAATGCTTCCTCTTATAAATGAGGATTGTAACATAGTGCGAGGAATAGACTCTTACAGGATTCGATTGTACAGGAAGGGTGCTTGTTCCTTAGGTAAAGCACCACAGGATTGCTGCCTAGTTACATTTTGTTGAGATACACTCAGACCAAAGGAAAGAGTTCAGAAAGCTGGACCAGAAACATAGTCATTCAGTGATATTATCCATCTCCTCATGGTCCTACAGAGAACTTCCGACACTTACTCCTTGAAAGCAGTTCAAGCTGGGATATGAACCCAAGCTCTTCAATATACAAGTTTACCACTTGATTTTGCAAACACTTGGTTGGCTGTGTAAACCCCTCTAACTTTTCAAATTAGGTAGTGTAATTACACATGTGCTTTAAATAATAGCCTTCACACTCAAACAACTGAAAAAAAACCAGAACCTTCAAATAGAAAGACATGAATTTTAAATCTCAATATTACTAATTATTCAAAATGAATTGAACTGACCATTGACATATGGCTAATTGGGAATGAGACAATTAATTTCTGAGCAAAGAAATTATTACAAAAGACATAATTTTCCAGTTCAGCGTATGGCTCTGGCCATGGAAAAGATTGGTGGTTTAAGGTACAACATTTTTCTATTTTGGGAGAGGTGTGGTGCTTGTGTGGAGACAGACAGTACACAAGAAAAGTAAAAATCAATAGTTAAGACAAAAAGACTTCTTTTGCATTCTGATATACCAGACATTTACACCCTCAAAATGTTTGAACAAATCTGTACTAAAGAAAGATGCGAGGCACACTCCCAAAATAACTACAGCAGGATTCTAGTTGATTTTTTTGGGCTGTTTTGTTGGCCAGATAAGGTATTACACAGGATAAATAGGCATTTCATTTTCTTAGTGGGCAGTATTGGGAGGGTGGCTGCTGAGGGGGAGCATTATCAGCCTTCCTTGTTGAAATTTCTAACCAAATAGTCAATTGGTATTATAAGTAAGACCATGGAAACAGCAGAGGATACAGCATCAAACAAATTGTACCATGTGTCAAGAATTTAGACAAATTTGTGTTCTGGTGCCTTTGTTAAAATAACTTAAAAACATCCAGCTCAACAGAAGCTTCTCCCAAGTTGGCAAGGGGTTAAAATGTTTAAACAGAATAACTTTCCTCCAAATAAATCTTACTATCGAGTTAGGTTGCTCACCAGTTTTATTACTGGCCTTGGTTAGGTTTTGCAAACACTGATCTTTATACAAGGACCAGTTACTGATCGTGTCCTCCAGCATCGAGCCACTGACCTGCAGAATAAACAGGATGGAATATATAAACAAGTCCCTGTAAGGAAGTTAAACAAGCAAAATTCTTTGTGAATTACTAAAGCGGAAGATTATTGCTGTAAGGTTGATTTGTGTGGAAAGCAATGCAGTCTGCTCCGAGCAAAGTGAATACCTAAACATTATTCCTTGATTTATCTCTTCTACGAGTGTCAGCTCTTGCGGTATCATATGTTTTATTTTTGGCCCTTATCTAAGGTTCTCAAAAAAGAGGTATCAGCTACATTAAGCCAAATGATGCAGCATAATAAAAGTTGCTAAAATCTTTAATCTCACAGATCTGGTTGAACAAACTGCTCCACAAAATTAAGGTCTGTTAATTTTAGTCTTTTATTTTCAGAGCAGAAATTTCTCACAGTGCAAAAAGTGATATCTATTAAATTATGAGACAACAAGGTGCAGGGCTGGATGAACACAGCAGGCCAAGCAGCA